GAGAGAGAGAGAGACTAAATAATACTGCGCTTGTTATAATAATATAATTAGCCCCGGTAAAAAAATAGATAAATGATAAATCCTAGTCCATTATATATTTCTTGTATAATAAATCCTATTTTCAGAAGTCTATTTTTCTCGAAAGCTTGAAAGCTGCCTGGAAGCTGGAAACTAAAATAGAGACGTGGTGCCGTAATCCTATCTTGTACTGTTTAAAATTTTATTTCCCACACACGTGTACGTGGATCAAGCGCAAGGAAAGTGCATGAATATCAAAGAAATTGTGCTATCTGAGTGCAACCAGAGTCAATTACGATCGAATTCATCTGAATCGCGAGTGCGAGCTTTTAGGCGTGTATTCCTCGCGAACGCGAGGACGCTTCGACGTCCCGACATCGCGGAGGAGAAATTCAAGGCTGATGACGCTCGTCGTCGGGCGACTATTCGTTTTCGTTGCATTTCCACTTCCGGAAAAAGCCACCGTCCGGCCAGCAGCGCCGACTGGGCGCGATAAATTATCGCGCGGACAACGGCGAGCGAGCGCTCTCTCCGTGAATTTCCCTTATCATAACGCGCGTGACCGAGTTTGCTCCCCGTAACATCGGTATATCTCGAAAATCCGGTCTTGCAAAAGAAAAACAGAACGAGATGGGGGGAGGGGGGGAGAGAGAGGGTAACTATGGAAATTCACAACGCCGGCGATACTTTCTGAAAAGTTCGCTTAATATCAGAAGGTATATATCGACGTTTCTCCGTCGGCTATTTTTAACGTCGATATTTTATCCCCGCTATTAGTTCTGTGTGCCTATGCTATCGTTATTATTCTAATAAAATCAGTCATCCATCAATAACCACCAATAAAATGTTTATTTGTATCGTCAAAGCATGTGTGTGTCACTGCCGACATCGAGAGGCTTAAATGGCACTCTGTCAAAATGATAAAAATAATAGCTTCTATTTTTGGCCTATCAATCGTGCAACATTGTAAAAAGCATTTTCGAGAAATTTGTTGGCGTGTTTATATCGAACGTTATGGAAACGCAAATGGAAATTTTCGGTACAGTAACCATAATTTCGACGCAGAGCGAATATTTTTAAATTTAAAGCAAAATGAAATAAAGAAAAAAAAAAAGAAACGAAGGGAGAATTCGATTAGAATATTTTCTTTATCTCTCTATCGTCAAAAAATTCATTTTATCGTTTATACATATATGATATAAATATTACGTATCTATACACATTCAGTTGTAAAAATAATCGACTGGTGTAACGCTGGTTATTCCCGATAGTTCGCTCTGATATACCGCATGTAAATCCATTTAGCCCTTCGGCTATTCGTTCGATCCAAATTTTTGGTATTTTCGCGATATATCGGCCATTTTTTCCTTTCCCTTTTTTTGCCCCCTGCGATAATTCGATATCCCGCAAGTTTGATTCCCGCTGCCGCGATTTAATGCAACACGCGGATATTTTCAACGCGTAACCGCACCTCATTTCGTCGCCGGATAAATTTATTAGCATCGTTTATTAGAAGGGATTACGCGGTCGCATGTTATAGGTGAATAGATTAAAACGCTTCTGTCCGCCGGCGAAAGTGCGGCATGCGAAATTATCTTATCTGGGTCGACCGGGCTATAAACTATCAACGACAGATAATTATCCATTACGGTCCTCTTACGAGGAACCACGCGAATTTTCCTACGAGACTGCGCTCTACGATTTATTTATTCGAGATGACGGGCCAGCATTGTGCGATATGATTTAAACAGCAAGGGATCAATGTTGCGGACCGCAGTCGGTTTTGCGTAATGTTTTTTAATTTTTCCGCGACGGCTCGCGGCGTTTACTTGTGCGCGCGAGCTACGTAAATAACGGATATAATAGCTCGCCATAACGCCAGTCGAGCGGCGTGCTAAAGGCATAATTTACGATAAAAGTGCGATCGCTGGTATCGCCGTGAATATCGATTTTATAATGCGAAGCGGGCGGAGCTGCGGATGAATAGAGTTCCTCGCGGAGCGTGGTGCGGAGCGCGCGGGTAAATGGGAAAAGATTGCTTATTAAGAATTTATCCCGAATACTTTTTAGCCGCCTTTCAATTCAATATGTCTAACGATGAATAATAAAAAGCTCGGCGAGGAATTGCAATCGTCAAATCGCCAATCGTGAATCTCCGCTAGGGAGAAATTGACTTAAACTGAATCTATCAAGCAATCTTCACGGATGAAAAAGATGCATAAAGATGCATAATAATAAAGTAGACCGAAGAAAAGAGAGAGAGAGAGAGAGAGAGAGACATCTCCGAAGTGGAATATCTTGGTATCTTTATAAGCGATAAGTGGTTTTATTTTATTGTCGTTTATTTTCGCTACGCTTAAGCGAACGTTAATCCGAAATACAAATATTATGCAATTTCATATCGCCATTGGACTGACATTTTATTTTCATTTATTCGCGAGGCGGCTGAGGGAAATCCGAGCGTCAGCGCGAAAAGAAATTGCAACACGCGCTTGATTTAATTGCATACGTTGGCCATTTCCGCGATCGCGATATTTTCGCCGGTCCGCAATTACGCCAGCCGCGATGAGGAAAAATTATCGGAATGGGAAAACCGCGATCGCGGCGAAAGGAGGAGCGAATAATGACTCCGCGGCGCGCTTTTTCGCGATATCTGTGCCGGGTGTCGGATGGTGCCCCATGGACGTGTTGTAACTTTCTAAATTATCGTCGGCAATTTGTTCGTTCCCTGGACTTGCGCTCTGCGAATCGTTGCCCGCGCGGATTAATCGGTTGTTGGTGTCGCGGATCAACGATTAATTATTGACGCTAAACCGAAGAGATGCGGGGAGAGCTGTTTGTAAAAATTCGCGCCGCATTCGGAAAACAAGCCGATTTGGGGGCGAAAGTGCCATTTATCGCGATCGAGTCAGTTTATTCCAAATATATTAAGTCTATAGATATAGTCAGCGAGAAATGTGGAGAGGCTTATGGGAAATAAATGTAACGATCGATTCGTTTGACTTGCAGGCCTGCGACTGTCTGGGAGTCAGCAAAGAGTGTGATTACTTCGGGCTGAAGTATCAAAATGCGAAGGGCGAGGAACTCTGGCTGAACCTGAGGAACCCCATAGAGCGGCAGACCGGTGGTGGCGTGGCGCCTCTAAGATTCGCTCTGAGGGTTAAATTTTGGGTGCCGCCTCACCTGTTGCTGCAAGAGGCTACCAGGTAAGGAAAATTAATCGACACACGAGCCCTTCTTTGCCCAAGTACAGTTTTTAGAATCAATTTATAGATAAAGGTCCTACAAAAAAATTCACAAGTTTTTTATTTAAATTCGAATTTAATCGAGACTCGTAGAGTCTTCGATATATCTTTATTATATTGTTTCCGACGAGACGATAATTCATTTTTTCTATTTCGCGTTTATGGCTTCTCGCGTCGGATGAGGTTTCGAAAGGGGATCTACATGTAATCTCGTCGATTCCCAAGAGGCTCGCGATGTTCGTCGTCCCCTGACAATTGGGAGATTGAAGTGGACGGATGGTTTACACGCTCGGCGCGACAAACGAGCAACCCTCTGCCGGATTGATTGGCCGCCATCGATGTGATTTCAAGCGGAAACTTATTTCGGGGATTACCGCGACATTGTCTATAGTTAAATTGGACGTCGATGATACCTAACGGGATCGTGATAATCTCACAATAAGACTCCTCTAGAATGCTCCTGATCCACGGTAGAGGCTCTTAAGCCAAGTGTCCCACCGTCTTTCTTTTCCTACGATAAATTTCCAGTATCGGTAACTGGAAGTAGTTAGAGCAATCCGTCTTTTGCTACCGTCGCCGGTTTAATTACGGGACATTTGCATTGTCTTCGAGCCCTCTCCGTGCCGTCGACGAGCCTCTTTGCGCCCTTTATCGATCCTCGAGCGTTTACACGCGGGGGAGAGTTAGTTTTAAAAATTCAGCCCAAGAGTTTCACGTTTCCGTAATGTCCGATCGCGCAACTCCGTTAATGCGATACGAACTCAAGCAAAATAATTGCGTTCCGTGCAGTTTGTAACAATATGTAATAAATCCCGCGAGGAATAAAGTTGCCCGGTTGTTATTTTATAAAATCAACAATCGGAGCGGTAAGCGCGGAATGAGAGACCGCCTTCGGGGAATGTAACGTCGCGGGGAGGTGGAAGGGGGGGGGTTCGGCCGGGGGCTCGTTTTGTTTGAAGTTCCGATTGGCTCGTTACCGCGGCGCGACGCCGCGTATTCAAAGCGGAGATTCACCGTGAACTCTCCGCGATAGTTGCGAATTGCAGTCCGTTGTAATCCGACACTCGGGTGCACTCGTGTGAATGCAACGATGAGAGGAGCCATACGGAAGCCTCCCCGTCCGAATTCAGAAAATTGTTTCCGCCGTAAAAGTCTCTCGGAGAGAGAGAGAGAGAGAGAGAGCCAGAAAGCAAGAAAACTATAAAGCGAGAAAGACAATAAGAAAGGCAGAAGGGGGGAGGAGGGGAGGAGAAGAGAGAGACAAACGGAAAGAGGTAGTAGAAGTGGGAGAAGGAGAGACGTAGAGACAGAAACAGATGGGAACAAATAAGAGAAAGAGAGAAAGAGAGAGCGCAAACATTCGTGCAATCAGCCGGATTCCTCGGGCGATCCGTGCGATCCATCGATCCTCGAGCGAGCACGTACGAAATTGCATGCTGGCGTCGTGGGAGTACTGATTGTATCTGGCGATATCACATTGTAGGGTATGCGTCTTCGGGGGCGGCGGGGGTGAGAGCGACGACGGTGATGCGCTTCTCCGCGCGGGCGAGGCGCCACGGTAAATAATGTTATGCGCGGCGTCGATGCGATTTATTTTGCATTATTCGCGGCATCCGTACCGTCACTGTTACGTGACGTTCTACGACCGCAATACAATCGCCGCGGGTCGCGAGATTGAATCGCGTCGCTGGAGTGCAAGGCATATTTGGAAAAACTCTCTCGCGAATTTTTCGCCGTCGAGATAAATCTCCGTCGAACGGGATCATGTGAACGGCGATGAGAAATTTTAAGAGAGAAAGTAAGAAGAAAAGCTTGTTTATAATGGGTAGGGTTTTAATTGCGAGTCGAATGAACGGGAAATAATTCTTTCCGTCCGCGATTATAAATTCGTGGCGAATCCGTGCTCCTCCGTAGTTTTCTCGCGCGAAATAAAAATGCGAGGATAGTCCGGCAAGGATCACTCCGAGTTTTTTTCGACGAATTGACGCAATTAAATGTGATCAGGGTCGGTCGTAATTAGTAGCGTCCCGCAGATTTCAACGGATCGAAACGTAATTTCAATTTAATCGCGGTCGCTCGAATTACCTCACATGGAGCTAAATGCGCGAAGAGTAATGCGTCCAGCGTGCGAATTAATTCGTTGCCGGTACTGCGACACTGCTGTTGTAATTGCGCCAACTGACGTGACGAACTCTCTCGCTGTGTGCAGCAATATGTATCCGAGAGATTTACAGGGAGTTCTTCCTCCGTGCGCAACGCGAAAAAGACATGATATTACATTCATACAATGTTGCGAAATTTACGCTTAAACATTTTCTTTACCAAGAAATACCTCCTCTTCTCGAGTTGAAATTTTTCTTCTTTCCATCTCAATTAAGATTTTTACATCTGTTTTGATACTTTGAATAATCAAATCGACCTCTTTTAATATTACTTAACACCTGTAATTCCCATTTAAAACCAGAAAGTTCTATTAGAGATAATTGAGCTCTTTTAAATCTCAAAGAAGAAAATTGTTTACTGTTTACTTCAAATGCAAAGTAGGGAAGCTCAGTTCTCATAAAATAAATCTTTATCACAATCCTCTAGAATTTATAAACGTTAAAAATAAGATCGAAAATAGGAGTAAAATTTTAACTGGGGTCTAAGCTTCAATTAAAGAAAAAAATGGGATCAAATTTGGGTTATTTAATATTTAACCTTACATTAGAAATTAATAACGTTAAATTTTCACGCTAATTTCGAATGTTAATAAAGAATATGTAATATGGATAGTGAAATTAATAATAGACAAAATATAAGAGCAGATTTTCAGATTTACTTTTTTGGCTAAGTAACCGAGATTTTGCGGGATTACATTTTACCAAAAAAATCGATTTCACAGGCCTCCCTCGCAGCCTCTTAATCCACAACGCTTGTGGATTATACATCTCTTTCTGACATATCCTTTGACATTACCGTGTCATCGGCCGCGTTAAATCCGATTAGAGATTCATTTCTCGCGCTTTCAAACGTCGATCACCGCGCGAACTTCATCATCAATTTAATCATTACTCAAGATACGAATTACTTCGCCACCGACCGGATGTGTTATCTTAATTACGCGAGAGTTTTTACTCGGGATCGGGCGAATCGCAATTAATCTCTCGGAGGCAGATGCATAAGCGAATTAACAAAATTATGACGTAAATTATTAACGTCGCGCTTATTTTCCGCTCTAGCGGAAATGTCTCGGGGAGTCGTGTGTACATTCGGCGGTAAAATCCTGAGGGTGCCGCACGAGCTCGGGTAAAAGAGTTTGTCTCGGGTGCTGCCACATAAGATACCGCAAAATTAATCCTGACGTGGGTCAGATTTAATTGCGTTACACCGTGCCGTTCGTGACGTCGGTCTTCCCGAGAAAAGCGCCATCGAGGTTTTTGCAGAACCGACACGCCGAGATGCGCGAGATATCCGCGGATGACATTAATTTCTGGCTGAGCTACGTCGAGTTTTAAATATGTACCTTTATATCGCGAATGCTCATTCTATTATTTTTTGCAATATTATCGACGAGGGAACCGGTGACTGACGTATTTAATCATTTACCACTCAGTGAAATTAATTTGCAGTTTTCGTTTTCGCTATCGTTCAATCGATACTTTAATTTCGAGTCATGTTAAGCTCGTCGGCGATATTTTCATCGTCGACTGTCAACATTGGAAGCACATAGAAAGTACAAAACGTTGGGAAAACGCGGATGATTTTTTTTTTTTACCCTCAGCGCAGTGTGCTTCATCATCATATTTTATCACTGAATATAAATCACCGGGTATCACGTTAATTATTTGACGCCATCGATACCACCTGTGATTTATCGATCTGCATTTTTATCCGTTCGAAAAACGCAATTTTCTCATCGCAAATTCGGACAACCTCTGTCCGACGTGGAGGCTTCATACCGGCGTTCGCGCGTTTGATTTATCGGCGATCTACATTTCGTTTGCGAACGACATTACGACTTTCCCGTCACATTCCGCCCGTAAATTTCGGGAAGATATACGGTCGCGAAGTGACACGCCTCACTATTATCGCATCGCGATATGATCGATGATTAAAAATACAGTGAGTTGAAAATTGCCATATCCACATTTTATGGACCGACAGCGAAAATTAACGGACTGCGCTATTAATTTCGCAATGATGATTCGTCGCGAAATTTCAATGAACGCCGCCGTTTGCCCGCTGTGCTTTGCTCGTCGGATTTATGTCGCGGGGCGAAACTCCATCGCTCCGTTCTTATTAATTCGCTTTGCATTAGCGAAATGTTGCCAGCAGGATCGTCTATCATACGTCGTAACGGTGAGAGAGAGAGAGAGAGAGAGAGAGAGAGAGCGCCGCAGTCCGTTTCTTCCAACTGCGAAGTCGCGACGTTGATAAAGACAAAGTGTTTCCGCATCCGAGGCGGTCGGAACTCATAGTTATCTGCGGAATTACAATCGCGACTTCTCATAAGAATACCATACGCGCGAGTCGTTTGTCACATCGTTTTGTGTCGCGAGATCCCGAAGATTTCCGTCTGTGGGGAAAAAAATTCGCGAAAAGAAGCACGAGGATTACGTTACATCGTTATTTTTAGCGATTATTAAAGTGACATCTTGCGTTTTTGTCAAATTGAAATATATTTAGCGAACGGAATAATTTATAAATTGTTATTGTGTGTAAATATCTACAAATATGGATATGGCGTGCATTTCTTTGCACAAGGTATTTATTATTTGTAATAAATTATTATTTGCTCGCAGTACGTAATAAACATATGCAAATTATTACATAGAGAAATTATCAATTGTGAAGAATAATACTGATAATTGTAATTGATATTTGTATCACTACGATATGCAAATGTAACTGTTTGATATGCGCATTTCATATTTAGGCACATTTATACAAATTTATATTAAATTTATACAAATTTATAT